GTTCCATTTAATCAGCTAATGGAAGGGAAGGGGGGGGGGGGGGGGGTTCTCAGTGGCGTCATAGCACTGTGCTCTCAGACTCTTCCTCCGGCTCCGCTCTGCTGCTGGTTGACTCAAACAGTGCCAATGAGTTCCTGAAGGGGGAGATGTGGGGCAAGTCAAAGATACCATCCAGGTCCACGTTGATGACGGGGAAGTCCAAGTTACAGAGACAATCTGGCAAGAAACACAGACAGGGATGAGTGAAATAAAAAATACTGTTGACTTGGGAAAAAAAAAGAGAAGTAGAGTGAAACAGATGATTCCAGATGTGGTTTCATCGATGCTGGATGGTGTTACACACAGCAGGCGGGTCATCACAAGGAATAAATAAAGTAAAATAGGGGTGCACGATATACAAGACAGCTTATTGTAGTAGGCAGTATTAATAAATCTTCAAATCTGATGCACGTTATGGCCAAAAGTATGTGGACACTATTGATTGGCCCACTAATGAAAGTATAGCATATATATTTGCAGTGTTATGACCTGGGTGTCTGTGGTGACATTTTCCAGAAACAAAATGCTGTATTACAGTTAAACTCAAACAGAAACTCTAAATAAACCCGGACTGATATCTTAAGGATTGCTACTTTAAACGTCTAAGAGGCATTAATCTGTTATTAATCTGTCCTACAGATGTTTTATGTGTGAAATCCGTGGAGTGCAGCGTTAATGATAAAGTGGCGATGAAATGAAAAATATCTTCATCATCATCATCATCAGTGTTGGATGCAAGGAATTTGTTGGAAATTGGTAAAAAAACAAAAGTGGATATCGTGCATCCTTATTGCTTACACCTGACATGATCAATGTCTGATCAACTCAGTAAACACTGTCAAAACCCCCCAAAACCACGATCAATGTAGTTAGTTATACTGATGTATGAACTAACATATTGACCCCAGTTTAATGCATTTTTGTGTGATGAACAACTGCACAGACAGGAAGTGTGCTGACTGAGGAGCAGCGGTGGGCACAACACTGTGGAGTGTGAGGGGGGGGTATGGGGTGAGAGGAGGGCGGGGGGCAGTGACTGTCAAAGCCAGCTGGAGCAGGGCATTATGGGTTGGAATCCTAAGGGCAGAGAAGGTTGGAGGTTTTTGGGGTCGCCCCCCCCGGTCTGTTCAGCCCATGGAAGCCATGCATCAGTCTCAGCCGCCATGCAAAGGCCGACAGAACGGTTTAAAGCTGGACTGAAAACAGCCGCTGTGTGTCGGTATAAACATAATGAGAAGAGGTCAAATGTCTGGAGGGGTTGGAGGGATGGGGAGGGGTGGGGGAGGCTTTAGCACAGGAACTCCTGCTTACCCTAAAAGTCCCTCTCACACATAGAATCACACTGAACCTCTCGGCTCATACCGCTGTAAGTGAGACAATAAGAGACGTCGACAAGAGGGGAAAATTAGATGAAAACACACTAAGAATGCTGATGTAAATAAATAAAATAGATAAGAGTATCAAGTCCAGAAATAGACAACATAAAACAAGTGCAGATTTATTGTATTAAATATAAATGTGGGATTGTTTGGCGCTTTGAGGACCACAAGCTGACGGCCATATGTTTCCATTACATTGGAGAAAAGCAGACATGTACGAAACGAGGTAACTGACCCCAAAACAATCTAAACTGATAACAAAGCTCTCCAGGTAAGAGGATTTTGGGGTAAATTGCCTCTTTAATCTTTGTTGAAATAAATATCTGGAGGCCACCCGCGTCTCAATCTGACGTTTTATTGAGCATCACAGTTATTAACATTCTGTAAATGTGCTCTTTTCCAACCAGCGGTGATGTCTAGAGAACAACATTTTGTTACCATGTCATGTAAATATTCGTACACTGCTGGGTGGAAATCTATCAAAAAACTATGAATGTATTTGTTACTGAAAGTTTCTGGTAACGAAGTGCTAAGAGTCTGTTACAGTTATCTTGTGATAGCTGGTTGCCCTGATGCCATAATATTTATGCAAAATACAATATTATTATTGTAGTAATTAATGTGTTCAGATAAATCCAGAGGAGTAAAAAGCAAACTACTTTATGTGTAAATCTAATAAAGTAAAAGCACAAATTGAAATGTATATTTCGACATGCAGTGATGCGTTGTGATCGGTTTCATACACCTCACCTGTGGACATGCTCTCCCCGGGAGACAAACCGTCCAGGAGGCCTGTCGAATGGTCCAGAGGCTGGGGACTGGTGCCGGGCGTGCTGGGGGGCTGAGGGGGAGGTAAGCTGGGCCTCGTCCGGGGCGGCTTGGGGGTCGGCCTGGCCTTGGTGAGAGTCCCAGCCAGCGAGGGCGGAGAGGAGAGGGACGGGGCCGTGGCCATCTGGATCTGCCCCGGGGAGCCGATGGTGGCGTATCCCTGCGGGTAGCTGAAGCTGTACGGGGACGGGGTGCTGGGAGGAGTGGGCGACAGGCTGACCGGAGACGGCTGACCTGTCGACTGGTCGGACATGGCTCCCGACTGGCAGTACGGGACTTTGGGGGGGATCGGGGCCAGCTTCTTCGCTGCAAAGAGACCAGAAAGAAAGAAATATATGAATATTGTAAGAACTGCAGTAATGTTTTACACTTGCAGAGCAATTTAGAGGATTTAAAAATGTATTTGGGTGATGGATGACTGTTTGTCTCTGTAGCTTAATAATCCAGTGCTTCTATTATACATTGGTTAAGTTGGGAGGCTTGTAAGAGACAGATACATTCTTAAATGTTTTAGTTCTTAGTATGAGTCAACCTGCAGAGATCTTTCAACTCCAATAATGTCTTTCATTAGACCTTCCCTGTTTTCTTTTAAAAACAAGTAGCCCAACCTGAGATAACTAATACTGAAACATTCTCAGACATCATGCCGCTGTTTTCACAGGCTGAGTAACTCTAACCGTGAAGAGTAAACTCTCCCATTTAATGATCATTATGAAAGCGAGGGATGCTCGCCTCCACTTCTCACTAATCAACTCTGCAGATCCTCAATTACATTTACTTTTGTCATTAATTAGAATATATAATTCTGCCAGAGCAGAGAAGAAAATGGCACTTTCTTAACTCCATTTTGCTCATATTTTGTGTGATATTCAAGCAGTTAACATGAATGCAAAATAATGATTTAAGTGCTAACAATAGCCACGTTCATTGTTCACGTTCATTATGATAATTTTGGGGGCGTGGTTTGTAGGGAGGCTTGACGTGACGAGCTGCCGACTTGCTAGATTTAGAAACTTTTGGAGCTGGTGCTGCTACTTTTATTGGAAAAGAGTCGTCAACTCTGGGCTGGATATTTCGGTTGGATAATTTCCCCAAAAAAGTGAAATCTTGCTCGTTTCACCAATGTTACCTACACAAGTTTTAAAGCTAGGGTTGGTAATCTTGAAAAAAATCAAGAGTACGCTTGATTTTAACAATCATCCAACTGAAAAACCCAACTCTTTTCCAATGACAGTAGCTAGCAGCTACGAGGATAGTAGCTTGAAGAAGACTCAGGTGACGAGCGTTGAGTGCACGAGCATTATTCGGGCAGGCAGACAGACAGGGAGGGAGCTCGTCCAATCATTACATTCAGGCCGAATAAAATGATTGCACGAGCTTATTACAGTGCTTGCGAAAGCCAAGGACCGTAATAAACCAAGATTAAAACTTCAGACCGACATGTGTGATTGGTAGCATATTTACAAATCGATGTGCATGTTTCTGGGGCTTTTAAAATAATTTTCTGTAATTTTGACATGTTCAGACTGATGCGAAGGCATCTCGCTGCCTCGTTACCTCTTCTCAGGGTGTGAGGGCTGTGGTCAGACTGTCCACAAGAAGTCATCCCCTGGAGTCCCTGGAGTCCCTGGAGTCCCTTCTGTCCGATCACTGGAGACAACTCCTTGTTCTTCAGAGTACTGAGGACACACACACACACACACACACACACACACACACACAGGAATGACAAGCTGCCTCATGCATCTCTCTTCTCTTTAATAACATGTCAACCGTGTTTCCATAAATCTCTTGGCAAATAATAATAAAAAAAGAGCACCCATAGTTCCGTGTCAAATTGCCAGAGTGACCACTGTCTGCAGGCGAACATGAGGTCTGTAATGCCGTGCAGCGGACAGCAGTTCAAAAATCCCAAATAAACCCAAATGGCTTAATGGATTTTACTTTTTACGGCGCAGCGCAGCCAGAATGCCAATGAAGGTCGAAACATAACCAGTCCATACCCCGACCGTCGCTCTGCAGATGAGGCATGAATGGATGGTTGAAGCTGCAGTGATTTAGAGACGGGGGAGGGAGGGGGGGGGGCGAAGCACACGAGCATCTTTTGGGGCTCAATATCAAACATAACAAAGACATTAACTCCACACACATCGTGTTGTTTCTGTTCATTCTCAAGGTCTGATGTTGCACCCACTGGTATGACTCATTAACGCCCACTGCATTTTTTATTTTTATAATGGCATGCACTGAAAGCTTTGAATTTCCTTTGTTGCCTGGCAACCGCCTCCTGAAATATCCTGGCAACGTGGACAGTTATGGATCACATTCACAGCAATTATATTAAAAAAGATGGATCTGATAATGGCGTTCTTAAAGAGAATTGGTTTCCGTGATTGACGGATACATAATAAATAAGAAGAAAGAACAGGAGAGGGTGTGTGTGTGGGGGGGGGGGGGTAATCTTAATCTCACCCATCTCCCTTTTCCCCTCACCCATCCCTCTCTCATCTCTCCTTTTTGTGTGTGAGTTGTGTTGGGAGTATACGGGCGAGTTAGGCAGCGTTCTGGTATTTACCTAGTCAGCTTGGCTCCTCTCTCCCGGCTACAGGCGGCCCATGGAGGGGGAGCAGATAGGGGGGTGTTGGGGGGTTTGGGGGAGCCCAGGAACAGGTCGTGGCGAGTGAGAACGAGCGGGGGTTTGATGTACAGGGTGGAGCCATTCGTTTCGGGCGGGGCCGCATGCGAAGCGTCGGACAGGGAGGCCTGTTTGGGCAGGTGCAAGCAACTGGGTTTGGGGTTGGAGTTGACGTCAAACGGCTGAGGGGACGGGCAGAGGGAGTGAGGGAGTGGGGGAGGGGACGGGCCGGGGGGCACGGACTCGGGGTTGGGGGCGACGGGACGCATACCCGGAGGTGCTCGGGTGTGGAAATGGTGGTGAGGGAGCGAGTAGGAGGAGCAAGAGGAAGAGGAGGAAGAGGAGGAGGAAGAAGGGTAAGGGGGAGGCGGCCTCTCCTCCTCAGGGGAGGGGTAGGCGTAACAGGAGTCCGACCAATTGGAGGATGCATCATCCGAGCTGCAATGACAAACATGTCAATGTTTCCTGGGGGATAGAGCTGGAGGTAAAGTGGAGGAATTCATTCATATATAGGAGGTTAAGAGCAGTGGGATGTATCGATTTATCAGTTTAAGTTTGAGAGGAATATTAATTATTGTATCAGGAGGGAGAAGTGAGGGCTCCAGGGGGGCACAGCACAGAGGAAATAAAGAAGAGGTGTTCTATGGGTTTCAAATCACAGAAAGGAAATCAAACAGAAAAGTCACCTCATCCATTGCAGGGCCTTGCGACAATGGACTGTTATGCTGTTAATGATGCTTGGACTAATGACAACAAAAAAACAAAACAGATAAATAATTCATGCACATGCAGCAATGAACTACTGAACATGTGGATCAACTTCTCCCACAAGTTGTTAGGTAAAAATCTTTACATAAAATACAGGAATAAATCTGCACACATGGCTGCTATACAAATTCAAGGATGAGAAAAATAAACGACAAAAAAACAGAAACTTAAAGAACAGTCACAAAGTTCGACATGTCATGCTTCATCAGAGGGGAGACATGCAGGTGATGGTGAGCGTTTGGTGGGGGGAAACAGAAAGAAAAACGTGGAGCAAACAGCGCTGTTGTGGTGTCAGTTGCAGGGCGCAGCAGCAGCAGCACACACGGTGAGGGGGGGGGGGGGGGGGGCGGGGGGGGGGGGGGGGGGTGAAACAAGAGGGGGGACCGGGGGGGGCACGACAGCCTTACCTGGCTCGGTCGCTGTTAGTGGGAGGAGGGGTGGGGGAGGGGGAGGCAGAGAAATCCCCAAGCTGCTCGGGGACGAGAGCGTCAGTGGGCGGGACGGGGAGGTGCACACTCGGTGGCGTGGAAGAGGTTTTACGCGTGGAAGACGAGCCCCTGCGCGACACCCAAGTAGTGTCCATCACCCTGACACCCATGCTGCAGTGGGACAGAGATGCACAGCGAATCAAATCACGGGAGGGCGTGTGTGTCTGTGTGTGTGTGTGTGTGTGTGTGTGTGTGTGTGTGTGTGTGTGTGTGTGTGGTTCAGGTGGGGTCATCAGGGCTGCTAGGACGGGACAAGCTTCATCTGAACCATCATTGAAAGAGGCCTGACCCTGCCTCTAGGGTCACTCTGCTCCACCCACACGGACCTGTATGGATGTACTTATGATCCTGAGCATGCAGGAACAGAGAACAACGTTCCACCTACACACGGTCCCGATTAAAAGTGTAATTAAGTTCCTTTTTCAATGACAATCTCCTGCAAAGATGACGATGCATGAGAAAGGTGAGATGTTAAATCTTTTGATAACTGCAACACGAGAGCAGTTTGGATGAAATAGACACGATGAAGACTTTATGGTCCTTTTGGCATTAAAATAAAAATAAACTAAAGAGGGAGTTTGACGCTTTCTAGTCAAGAGTTTGATGAGAAGATTGACACCACTCTCATGTCTGTCCATTCAAAATGAAGCTAGCAGCCAGTTAGCTTAGCATAAAGACTGGAAACAGGGAATGTAATAAACTAAAAAAATAAATGTTTCTTCCACCTCTGGGGGCCATTAACGCTGAACTTTATATCATAAAACTGATCAGATATTTGCTAAAATGCAGGTGCGAGTTGATCACAAGCAGCAGACGTCGACCTACACATTCCCACATCTGGAAATATATACAAATACAAACAAAAGTGGGAGCGCTCCCTTGTTGACAAAAAACAGGATCATAGAGAGCTGCAGGAGTCCTGGAGTCCTAAAACCAGGAAATGAGTTCTTCACTTCACTTCCTGTTCCCTCATTTCAAAGTCAATGTGTTTTCTAAATGTGTTTTTGGTTAGATGTCGGAAATAAGATCTGTGGTTAACACCAACTGAAAATATTTTAAAGTTTTGTTCTCTGATATAAAATAGGTCAGTAAATGTCCCTCTGTTGAGTTAAGAAGCTTTTACGTGTCTTAAAAAGAGTGTAAATGAGACGACTAAACATCCTCACTAGAACACTAGTCCTCCTTTAGCTTAGTGGTGGAGACGTATAGACTAACGTGACGTCACGTGACCGTGGTGGAGTTCCTTTATAGACTAACGTGAAGTCAC